TTTTGTGAATTGATCCTTCTCTCATTATATAATGTCCCTCTTTATCCTTCCTTTGTTTTGGAGCTTATGTTGTTGGGCATAGCCACTTGTGGTAAGCAGAATAATGCTCCCGCTCCCCATCCCCACCGATCCCACCCCCGCCCCGTGTTGACGTCTTAATCCCCGGAACCTGTGAATATATTGTGATCAATTGCATTAGATTTCAATGGGAAATTAAGGCTGCAGGTAGAATTAAGGAGGCTAACCAACTGACCTTGAGATTGAAAAATTATGGATTATTTGAATGGGCCCAGTGTATTTGTAAGTGTCTTTTTAAGTGTAAAAAAATAAAAATAAAAAAGGCGGAGGCAAGAAAGAGGGAGTCAGAGAAGGACATGTGATGATAAAAGCAGAGGTTGAAGTTAGATGATTGTTGGCTTCGGAGATAGAAGAAAACCAAGGGCCGCGGAATGCGGGCAGGCTCTAGAAGCTGGAAAGGGCAAGGAAATTGATTCTTCCCTAAAGCCTCCATTGCTCATTTTCACTCAGGTTGGCCTGACTCCCTGCTGCTTCTAGCTTGACCTTTTCTGAGACTCTTGGTTTGGCCTTGAACCTTGTCCTGTTGAATAGCAAGATTGGAATTCACCCAGAATTTTCTTTCAGTCAGCAGAATGTGGAAAACTAAGATACATCTTTCAGGTGATAGCATACCCAGGCAATGAGATGTGCTAGAAAGTTGGCATTGTGTGAGCCTAATAATATTCCTATACAGATTTTCTTTCTGGGCTGAAAACAGGGAAGACTGTCAGCATCCCAAGCTCATTGTGACTAGCCATTTCCCATGTCTGCCAAGCAAATTTATAGTCAAATTGCACTACTCTTTTAGAGCAGACATCGTTTACCAGTTAAATTAAATTGAAAGAAAAAAATGGAAACAGTATATAGGAATATACTGTAGGAAATTACTGTATCTGTAGGAAAGGGAATATGTTTATGTATAATAAGAAAGGATTCAGCTGGGCGTGGTGGCTCAAGCCTGTAATCCCAGCACTTTGGGAGGCAGAGGCGGGTGGATCACAAGGTCAAGAGATTGAGACCGTCCTGGTCAACATGGTGAAACCCTGTCTCTACTAAAAACACAAAAAATTAGCTGGGCATGGTGGTGCGTGCCTGTAATCCCAGCTACTCAGGAGGCTGAGGCAGGAGAATTGCCTGAACCCAGGAGGCGGAGTTTGCGGTGAGCCGAGATGGCGCCATTGCACTCCAGCCTGGGTAACAAGAGCGAAACTCCGTCTCAAAAAAAAAAAAAAAAAGAGAAGGTTGATACTTGTAATTGGCAGAGAGCTTTCTTACTGTTACAAGTTGAATTGTGTCTCTTCAAAATTCAAATCAAGGCCAAGCCTGGTGGCTCACCTCTGTAATTCCCAGCAGTTTAGGAGGCTGAGGTGGGAGGATTGTTTGAGCACAGGAGTTCGAGACCAGCCAGGGCAATGTGGTGAAATTCTGTCTCTACAAAAAATACAAAAAAATTTAGCTGAGTGTGGTGGTGGATGCCTGTAGTCTTGGCTACCAGGGAGGCTGAGGTGAGAGGATCATCTGTGCCCAGGAATCTGAGGCTACAGTGAGCCATGATTTTGCCACTGCAGTCCAGCCTGGGCAACAGAGTGAGACCCTGTCTCAAAAATAAAATAAAATTTAATTTAATCTAAAAATTCAAAGAAAGTCCTAACCCCTAGTACCTCAGAATACAACCTTATTTGGAAATAGGGTTATAGAAGATATAATTAGTTAAGATGAGGTCATACTGAAATAGAGGGGGATCCTAATCTAACAGTACTGATGTCCTTTTAAAAACGGGAAATTTGGAGACAAACACACAAGAATGCCACAGGAAGAAGGCAGAGATCTACAAGCCAAGGAATGTCAAATACTATCAGCAAACCATCACTAGCTAGGAGTGAAAATTGGAACAGATTCTCTCTCATAGCCCTCAGAAGAAACCAACCCTGCTGCCACCTTAATTCAGACTTCTAGCCTCCAGAATTACTAGACATACATTTATGTAGTTTAAGCTATCCTGCTTGTGGCACTTTGTTACAAAGTACCTAGAAATGAATACAATTACTATTTAAGGAAGTATAAAAATAAAACAAAACTTTGTGAAAGTACTCAGGGGATTTCAATGTTTTCATCATTTCCCATGCAGCTAAAACAGTTAAACAAAACTATACTTACTTTATGTTCATAATTTGTATTATGCACCAATGAAAAAGAATGAGGTATATTTATATTCACATGAGCTATTTAGAAAGATCTCCAAAATATATTATGATGTGAAAAAGCAAATTGTGGCCAGACGTGGTGGCTTACGCCTATAATCCCAGCACTTTGGGAGGCCAAGATGGGCAGATCACTTCAGATAAGGAATTGAGACCAGCCTGGCCAACATGGCAAAACCCCATCTCTACTAAAAATTAGCTGCGGGTGGTGGCATGCTCATGTAATTCTACCTACTTGGGAGGCTGAGGCACAAGAATTCCTTGAACCCAGGAGAAGGAGATTGTAGTGAGCCAAGATCGTGCCACTGCACTCCAGCCTGGGCGACAGTGCAAGTCTCTGTCTCAAAAAAAGAAAAAGAAAATTGTAAAATATGGGGTCAAGAGATCGAGACCATCCTGGTCACCACATGGTGAAACCCCGTCTCTACTAAAAACACAAAAAATTAGCTGGGCATGGTGGCACATGCCTGTAATCCCAGCTACTCAGGAGGCTGAGACAGGAGAATTGCCTGAACCCAGGAGGTGGAGGTTGCGGTGAGCCGAGATCACGCCATTGCACTCCAGCCTGGGTAACAAAAGCGAAACTCCGTCTCAAAAAAAAAAAAAAAACCAAAACCAAAACAAAAAACAGAATGTCTAATGTAACTGTGTGAAGCTGGCTCTACTTCCAGCCTCACACAGTTGTTAGCAGGATTTAGTTCCCTGCTGCCTGCCCCTCCAGTCTGTCTTCAGTCCCTTGCTGTGTGGGCTTCTCCACATGGGGAAGCCATTTTTATTTAATCAAACTCAGAAAAGGAGTCAAGAGTTGGCTAACAAGATAGAAGTTACATTATGTGATGTAATTACAGAAGTGCCATTATGTCACATTTGTTGCATTCTATTGATTAGACGCAATTCACAGGCCCTGCTCATAATCAAAGAGAGGAGAATACACAGAGGTGAGAATACCAGGAGGCAGAGATCACATAAGTAAATATATTCTTACATATAGTCTGCCACTATATGTAACTTGTAGAATTTAAAAAAAAATGATTTACTCTTATTTGAAGAATTTGAATTTAACTTTGATTTCTTTTGAACAAATTTTATGTTCTTGAGATCACAGATGTTTAGGATGCAAGGACTATGAAGTTGTTGTTTTAATGTGGTATGCAATGGTATGTTTCAAATGGAGGACCAAAATGTTCAGAATAAAGCCATCTCACCTTGTTAAGAAGGGAATGACCATGAAGATTTAACTTCAAGCTCCCAGATAAGTGGTTGCAACACTTATATATATACATATATATATATACACATACATACACACATACATATATATATAGTTGCCCCTCCATATCCATGGGCTTTCCATCCACGGATTCAACAGTGGGTGGGAGGAAGGTAGGGAAAGAAAGAGAACCAGGGTGCAAATCAAATAGAATAATGATAGCGTTCAGTGGCTGCCAGCTTGTGACTCTTGCTTTATGTGACTTCTTAGTTTCTCTCTTTTGCCAGCAATTCAAGATGTGTTTAAGAACTTAATTCAAGGTGTACTTAGAAGTAGATCAAATGTAGGTAGAATTTCCATTGCCTTGCCAGTTCTTTAAATCTAACTGTACAGTTTTTATTGAGCACCTAACATACACAGTCTATCATTACATCACACTAACAATGAAATACATTAACAATTAGTTACATAAAACAGAGAGATACAACTTCCATAATGATCAAAATGACTCTGAGACACATACTTACATTTTAGCTCTTTTTAAAAATATTATCAAATATAAAGAGAATACTTTATACTGGAGTACTCAAAATCCACAATTCACTTCTGAATACAGAAGGTTAATGGGAAAGTTTCAGAACATAGTCATCATTTCGTTAAAAAGTAGCACTTCTAGTGGCACACCCCTGTAGTCAGAGCTACTCTGGAGGCTGAGGCAGGAGGATCACTTGAGATTGGAATGTCAAAGCTACAGTGAGCCGTAGTTGCACCACTGCACTTCAGACCAGACAACACAAGACTCCCTGTCTCAAAAATAAAAATAAAGTAGCACTTCTAAGCCACGTACAGCAGTGCATGTTTGTAGTCCCAGCTATTCCCCGCTATTCTGGAGGCTAAGATGTGAGGATCCCTTGAGGCCAGGAGTTGGAGACTGCAGTGCCTATGATTGCATCTGTGAATAGCCACTGCACTCCAGACTGGGCAAGCCAGACCTTGTCTTAGAAAAAAAAAAAAAAAAAAGTAGCCCTTCTAAAAGAATGGAAAGGCAATCATTCTGAAAACCTTCCCTTGGAGCCAGTTTCCACCTGTAAGGCTTCTGTCCCTATAGAGGTTATCTATGATATCCACCACGTGGCATCCAAGTTCCTACCAATTCAGAAAGGGGAAAAACGTCTGCAGTCTTGGGCCGGGCACGGTGGCTAACACCTGTAATCCCAGCATTTTGGGAGGCTGAGGTGGGTGGATCACGAGGTCAGGAGTTTGAGACCAGCCTGACCAACATGGTGAAACCCAGTCTCTACTAAAAATACAGGTGTAGTGACAGGTGCCTGTAATCCCAGCTACTCGAGAGGCTGAGGCAGGAGAATCGCTTGAACCTTGCAGGGAGCAGAGGTTGCAGTGAGCCGGGATTGCACCACTGCACTCCAGCCTGGGCAGCAGAGCAAGACTCCATCTCAAGGAAAAACAATAATAATAGAAAGTCTGCAGTCTTGTTAGGTGAGAAGACATTGATTCTACCTGGCTCAGGTTGTCAATTTCTTATGGTTGCATTTAACAGAAATGTTAAACAATAAACATTGCATCCCTCTCCCCACGTGGGACTCACATCACTTTAGTCACTCTATCTCCCCCTTATTCTTAGCCTCTCTCTGCATCGATTTCTCTCCCCAGTCTCTGGTTTTGCACATTTAAGGTATGCCTACTTCTGTTTCCATTATTTTTCCTACTCTTAGTCAGGACTGAGTCTCTTCAAAATTTTTAATTTCTCTGCTATCCCAGAGATTCTCCATACCCCTTAACACTCTCATCCCAAACACCCCACCCTCACCCTGCCCTGCCCCATTCTAGAACCTGGACTCCTCTCTATCATGGTACCCCCTGGTCTAAGCTGCTCTTAGCTTCTTTCCCTTCCCCACGCCTTCCCCCTCATCCCTCCCTGGGCTGGCAGGCAGCCTCAGCCGTTCCAGAAATTGACAAAGAAGTTGCAGAGGGAGTGCCACTTCTCCGCGCAGTAGGTCTCCGTGAGCTCCGCGTTCCCGTCCAGACCGTCAGGGTTGGGCCCGGTCCCCAAGGGTCGCTCCTCGTTGGGGACCGAGGCCGCCTTTCTCTTGCCCCCTTTGGTCTTCCTCTCAGAGGGCTTTTCTTTGGGCGGTGCGCTTTGGGGAAGAAGCGGTGTCCCGGCGGCAGCGCCGGGCGCACGCTCCCGAGGCCGTCTCCGGCTCGCGGCCTCGGGCTTGGGCTTCCGGGCGAATCCTGCGGCGGTGGGGCGTGCAGGCAGGGACGCGCGGGGCTCTAGCCGCAGCTCAGCCCCGTGGCCCTTGCTGCCCGCGCACAAGCGGGCCTGGAGCGGCGCGGGGTCGTGACAGGGCCTCCGCTTCTTCCGCAGCCCACCCAGCACCTGCTTCCAGAAGTGCGAGCGACGAGCGGCGTAGGCGGCGCAGCGCTCCGGCTCCCCGCGGTAGGCGCACCAGTGGCGCGCCCCGTCCGGGCTCTGGCAGCGCAGCGCGAGCTCACTGCCGGCTGTGGCCCCCGGGGCCGGCAGCAAGAGCTGCCAGCTGCACGCGTGCTGTTCTGGGCTGAGGAAGCGACCCGAGGAGCCGCCCGCGGGCCCGGGGACCGGCTCCACCACGTTGCCAGCTGCCCCCTTCTCCCTCCTTGCAGCCGCGAGGAGGCAACCACTCAGCAGCAGCAGCAGCGACGGCGACAGCGACGCTCGCAGCCTCGGAGGACTCATCGTGGTTTCTGCGCTCCGCTCTTCTCCGACCGCGTCAGTCCGGGCAGCGCCAGGCAAGGAGCCTTCCCTGGACCTGCAGACGGAGGCAGAGACCGCCACCAACTGAGCTAGGCGCAGCACTTTGCCCAGATACTTGCACCTGCCAACTCCCCTTCTGCAGACTTTCTGGAAGCTGCAGCCTGCGAGGGGACCCTGTAAGGAGCTTTCCTGGGGAAACTGCTTATTGTCAAAACAATCACTTTGAAACCATGTATGCATTGAGATTTTCTTCCCCTTGCAAGTACGATAGCAAAACCATGCATGATAATTGCTCCCCACCCCTTCCTTCATTTTCTCCCTTCTCCAAAGTCCAATAAATTATCTACAAAATCATTTCAGATGATTCCTCGGAAAAATGCATTTTACTACACTTTAAACTTACCGAGTTCTGGGAGAGGCTCCAACGCCTTATTAGGGTAGAGGGAACGACTGCATGGGGGATTAATCTGTTTTAGCCAGCTCCCTGTGAATGAACGTGGTACCAATGGAACAGAAGAGGCCTCCACTTCTACGCCCCTCCCAGATTTCTCTCACATTGGGAGACTTCTCAGCGCCGCGCCTGTAACTCTCCCCGCCCCCCACCTCCATGAATGATGGAAGCGGTCCTGTAGCATGAAATATAAATCTCGTATTTTGCTTTCAGTGTGTACAATATGCAAAATTAACCAAGTTTTTCTTCTTTCCTTTCACGTACTTAACCATCCGAAAAATAAAAATTAAACGAAAGATCTAAGTTTCAAGAGTTAAATAAAATAAAATAATCTTCAGTATTCTAAACTAGACATTATTTACACAATTCTATTATTTACATTCTAATTCTCATATTCTGAGTTCTATATTTTCACCTATCATTTCCAATGGCCTTTCTTATTCTGACTCTCAATCTTAATAATTGTTACTACTAATAAAAATATTCTAGTTTGTTAACATACAATAGTGCCCAGCAGTTCACCCAGGTGTGGACATTTCAGGCTTTTGATTATTTTTAGGTATTGTAAATCAGTTATAAATGTCCTCCAAAAATTAGAAGTTTAAGAAAATTTTTGTATTATAGTAGTTGAAAGGTAAGATTGCCAGTTGAAATGGTATAATAGTTAAGAATTAATGTGTTCTTGGATCTTGAAAATGTTATATTTAAGCAAAGCTCTTGGTAGGGGTTGTATGTGGGTGTTTTGTCTTTTTTGTTTGTTTGTTTTTTGTTTTTTGTTTTTTGTTTTGGTACAGGGGCTCACTCTGCTGCCCAGGCTGGAGTGCAATGGTGCAATCTCAGCTCCCTGCAACCTCTGCCTTCCCGGTTCAAGTGATTCTCCTGCCTCAGCCTCCCGAGTAGCTGGAATTGCAGGCGCCTGCCACAACACCTAGCTAATTTTTGTATTTTTAGTAGAGACGAGGTTTCACCCATGTTAGCCAGTCTGGTCTCAAACTCCTGACCTCAAATGATCCACCCGACTCAGCCTCCCAAAGTGCTAGGATTACAAGCGTGAACCACTGCACCCGACCAAGCAAAGCTGTATTTAAACTTCAGAATATATCATCATCTTTTTAAAATGTTCTCATTATGAGAAGATTTAAAAAAGATTATGGTATATCATTAATAATCTCATTTAATCTCATTAATCTCATTTAATAAATGTAATTTTTTTTTAATTGCAAGGCTGTATATCTCTGACTGCAATTTTTTTTTTTTTTTTTTTTTTTTTTTTTTTTTTTTTGAGACAGAGTTTTGCTCTTGTTACCCAGGCTGGAGTGCAATGGCGCGATCTCGGCTCATCGCAACCTCCGCCTCCTGGGTTCAGGCAATTCTCCTGCCTCAGCCTCCTGAGTAGCTGGGATTACAGGCACGTGCCACCATGCCCAGCTAATTTTTTGTATTTTTAGTAGAGACGGGGTTTCACCATGTTGACCAGGATGGTCTCGATCTCTCGACCTCGTGATCCACCCGCCTCGGCCTCCCAAAGTGCTGGGATTACAGGCTTGAGCCACCGCGCCCGGTCTGACTGCAATTTTTTAGACAAGAAACATCTTCCGGGCCGGGCACGGTGGCTCAAGCCTGTAATCCCAGCACTTTGGGAGGCCGAGGCGGGTGGATCACGAGGTCGAGAGATCGAGACCATCTTGGTCAACATGGTGAAACCCCGTCTCTACTAAAAATACAAAAAATTAGCTGGGCATGGTGGCACGTGCCTGTAATCCCAGCTACTCGGGAGGCTGAGGCAGGAGAATTGCCTGAACCTAGGAGGCGGAGGTTGCGGTGAGCCGAGATCGCGCCATTGCACTCCAGCCTGGGTAACAAGAGCGAAACTCCGTCTCAAAAAAAAAAAAAAAAAGAAAAGAAAAAGAAACATTTTCCTTAAATACTTCCCCATGATATCAGGAATTCTTATTGTATTTCCTAATGTCCTCTTGCATATAGCATTTTCTATTACTGAACCCCCACTGGTATTATATTTGAACCATTATAGTTTGTTTACTACTATAAAAACCAAAATACTTTAGAATTAGAAGAATGTATTTAAATATATAGTAGTATATATTAAATATTTAGTAATATATATTGACTTCAGAAAGGAAGTTTTTACCACTCTGGTAAAATCAGAGAAACTAAATGACTTACCCAGGATCACACATCATTTAGTGATAAAACCACTAACATATTTCAGTGATCAGTGATCTTTACATTTTGTCTTTGTGTTTTACTATTAGTTATGTTTTAATTACACTAATTCAGGCTGGGCACGGTGGCTCATGCCTGTAATCCCAGCACTTTGAGAGTCTGAGGTGGGTAGATAATCTGAGGTCAAGAGTTTGAGACCAGGCTGGCCAACATGGCAAAATCCCATCTCTACTAAAAATACAAAAATTAGCTGGGCATGGTGGTACACGCCTGTAATCCCAGCTGCTCAGGAGGCTGAGGCAGGAGAATCATTTGAACCTGAGAGGCAGAGGTTCCAGTGAGCGGCGATCATACCGCTGCACTTCGGCCTGGGTGACAGAATGAGACTCTGTTTCAAAAAAAAAAAAAAAAAAGCATAAAAAAATTAATTACACCAATTCGACATAATGAAAACCAATTAGTACCTCTGAAGATTAGAAATATTAACATGTTTCATAAATAAGAGCAGCTAATTAGTACATTTCACACATGGAAACCCTTTATTTCCCAGAAAACTGTGTTTGTATGGGAAGCATGGATGAGTATGGGACACAGGATTTTGTCTGTTGCTCTGGCATTGCTTTTTGTTAACAAGTACTGAACCAAATTGGTACCATTTTCAACGAAAGAATGACATCTTGTGGAATAATGCTCTAATTACAATAAAAAAGTTTATTATCTGAATAGCTGTAAGTAAGAGACGCTCCAGAGACCATGCTTCGCTGTCACTGACATTGTTCCCAGAGTAAAAAGTAAGGGCACTTGGATGTACTATGCAATATCAAAACAGAGTTGTTTTTTTTTAACCGTGGTATAACATGTATAACAAAATTTGCCATTTTTACTATTTTTAGGTGTACTCTTCAGTGACATTAAATACATTCACACTGTTGTGCAACCATCATAGCTATCCATCTCGAGAACTACTTTTTGTCTTCCAAAACTGAAACTCTGTACCCATTCCTCCCTTCCCCTAGCCCCTGGCAACCATCATTCTACTTTCTGTCTCTATGAATTTGACTACTCGAGGTATTATATAAGTGTAATCCTACAGTATTTGTCCTTTTGTGATCGGCTTATTTCACATAATGTGTTCAAGGTTCATCTATGTTATAGCATGTGTCTGAATTTATTTCCTTTTTAAGTCTGAATAATATTCCATTGTATGTATATACCACATTTTGTTTACCCACTTACCTGCTGATAGACATTTGGGTTGCTTCTACCTTTTGGCTATCGTGAATATGAACATTGGTGTACAAATACCTGTTCCAATTCCTGTTTTCAATTCTTTTGGGAATAAGGCTAGGAGTGAAATTACTGGACCACATGATAATTCTATTTTTGACTTTTAAAGGGTCATACTATTTTCCATAGTGGCCGCATCATTTTACATTCCTACCAGCTGTGCACATGGTTCCAATTTTTCCGCATCCTCACCAATATTTGCTATTTGTTTTTGTTTGTATTATAATAGCCATCCTATTGGTATGAAGTGACATCTTGTAGTTTTTATTGCATTTCTCTAATTATTAGTGATGTTGTGCATCTTTCCATGTACTTACTGGCCGTTTATATATCTTCTTTAGAGAAATGTCTATTCAAGTTCTTTGACACCACCGCACACACCTTTGTTTGAAGGGACAGAGTCTTGCTATGTTGCTCAGACTGGACTCAAACTCCTGGACTCAAGCAATCCTCCCACTTAAGCCTCCTGAGAAGCTGGGACTACACATCCAGCTCCTTTGTCCATTTTTAATCAGGTTGTATTATTAGTGAATGGTAGAAGTTCTTTACATATTTTGGATATTAATTTCTTATTGGATGTGTAATTTGCAAATATTTTCTCCCATTCTATGGATTGCCTTTTTGTTCTGTTGATAGTATGTGTGATGCACAAAAGTTTTTAATTTGATCCAATCCAAAGGAAATTAGTTTTTAAAATATCATGATGTGAGATGTGTGAGAAAATATAAAATACATATGTGTGTATATATCTGTATTTTACTATACTGCCCAGGCTGGTCTCAAACTCCTGGGCTCAAGCCCTTCTGCCTCAGCCTCCCAAAGTGCTGGGATTATAAGCATGAGCCACCATGCCCAGTGAAAATATATATGAAAGTTGTTGTTTTTTTAATGTAGTTTGCATCAGCGATACAACAGATCTGTTTGGATTTCTACCATACACTACCAAACGCTTTATAATTTCTTGATAATTTTGGTAATTGTCTGCTTAGTCTTGCCCTGTGAATCTCACAAAGGAAAAACTTTACCGTAAGAAACAGTCTTTGTAGCACCTCTTTCCCTTCTTCCCCCAGATAAGGTAGCTGCTGCACCGGATACAACAAACTTCTGTGGCAGACAGGGAGGGGAGTTTCCTGCCTCTCGGTTTCTTAAGACTACGTAATTCTTCCTGCCTATAAAATTAGCTTTGCATTGTTTAATATTCATGTTTTCTTTGTTTCATGGGTATTAGCCTAATCTCTCAAATTATATTGTTAAACTTTTTAGACAAGGATCATTTTTTAGGCCTCTTTTGAACCTAATATAGTGCTCAAGGTGAAAAAAGTTGGTTGCTTGAACTCTCTTTACATTACTGATAGGAAGAAAAAAATAATACAATCATCTTGGAAAACTGTTTGACATTTTCTTATAAACTTAAATACACATCTA